TTGGTGTTTACGGTTCTATCCTAAAGGAGTCTCTCCATTGCAAGAAAGTGATGACGTCTCATGTTATTTAAAATGGGAAAGATCTGTTGGAAGCCTTTTACCTCCTTTAATTGATTTCAGTATTGAACTAGTTGTTGGATCGAACATTGTTTTAAAAAGTATGGAGTGTAAACACATGTTTAGGAAAACTGAGTCAGATTGGGGCTGGAAAATATTCATGAACATCGATGAATTAGCTGAAGAAATGGATTTTTGGAAAGAAGATGACTTAACTCTACGATGTCGGATGAAATCTGATAAGGTGAAAAAGCAAATAATTTTTGGATCAGATGCTTCCACTATAATTGATGTTCACCGACGCTTTTTTGAGTGGAATGTTACTACTTCATTGGAACATTCTGAAAGTTTAGTTTTTCCCTTTTCCGATGAATTCAATTTTGAAATCACTTTAGCATCATTTGTGAAAGGTTTAAAAATTTTAGTTCGATTAAAAGAACGCGATGAAGATTTCTTTCAGTTAATCATGTTTAAAATAACATTTTACAATAAAAACGAATGCAAAATCGTTTCGAAGCATGCCAAATATTTATTTAAAGATACAGAAGAATGGGAATTTCCCTATTTTGTCTCAAAGGATTTGTTGGACTCTTGCAAATTCGATTCAGGTAATTACAAGTTCAAATTGGAATTTGAAATTTACGGCCCAAAAAATGAGATATCGTTTAATGATGTTGAAAAACTTCATTTCAATACTTCATATGTCACTTGTGTAGATACCGAATCCAAGGCTTCACCGGTTACAGCCATGCAAAATGATTTCCGAAACCTCTTCGTAAACAAAAAGTATTATGATGTAACTGTTAAAGCTGGAAACCAGGAATTTCCTGCCCATAAACTCGTCCTCAGAGTGCGCTCACCCGTTTTCGAAGCCATGTTTGACCAAAACATTTTGGAAAATGAAACTGGCGTTGTCAATGTAACGGATATCGATGGAAAGACCATGAAATACTTTCTAAAATTTCTTTACACTGAAAAGGTGGATAAAATGGATTTTAAAAGTGCCAAAAAGTTATTGCTTGCTGCCGATAAATATCAAGTACCATCATTAGTGAACGCTTGTGTTTCTATTCTGAAATCAATTTTGTCGGCTGAAAACGCTCTTGAAACTATCTCGATTGCTGATTCTGTAAACTGTGAGTGTTTGAAATTTCATGCATTAGATTATATAATATTTAACGCTGCTAAAATTTTGATCGACCCTAATTGGAAGCCCTGGATCAGAGAGAATCTTGAACTAGCTACTGATATCTTATCCAAAATGTCTTCTGACTTTTTAGCAAAATAACATTGAAATTGCTTAGTCTTACTCTTTTGGTAAAAAGAATAATAGTTTTGTCAATTTCTAGTTTTAGTTACAAGCCTGAAGTTTCATATGAATTCAAACAAATAAATTACAAATCTAATTATATTTTTTATTTTCCGATAAATGCCTAGTATCATTATCAAACTAATTTGTTTCTTGTCTGATGTTTCGTTTGAGTTTAAGTAATTAAATTTATCTAATAAAACAATTTTGTCTACTCAAAATTCTAGTGTTTAATCAAATGACAGATTTTAAGATTCTTGAATTGTTTCAACACGGAATTTCGAAATTTGTTTGAGTACATTATTTTAAATTGTAATATTGTGTTCATTTTTTAATCAAGGCATTATGTTAACAACCTATGATTTACTATTACCAAAAAAAAATTTATTTGTCATAATTATCGCTATCAATAAATCTTATTAATTGCAATAAATTTTAAATATATTGATAACGCAAATTTTTTGAAAATGATTGTTTACTTGAAGTATGTGATACCGTGTAGAGGTTTTCAAATCAACATCATTTCTCTGAAGCAAAAAATTGAGTATGCTGAGAGATATTAAAATAATTAGTAATTAAAATTTTACTTAAATTTGTTGTATTTATTTTGAAAATGATATATGATGAAAAATTTTCAAGCATTTTAATTGGTTTTATTCATGTAATTAAAATGTGTGTTCATTTGTACCCTTTTTAAAAATAAAATATTAGGTTGGAATTTTTTTTTTATTTGTGGTATTAGTAAACAGCAATTTTGAATTGATTTTAAAAGCTAAATTTAATAAAAAATCTGTTTAACAAAGTAACTCAATTTAAATTGCGTTTTAATTAGTTTAAAATTCTGTGTTAGAATTTTCTTAACTTCATTTTTATTATTACTACCCGTGATTTCATTCTTAAAATATTTTAACTACTTTTTTTCCGCAATTTCATTATGTTGAACGATTATTCTCTAATTTTTACTTAGCTTTCTTCAGATTTTTTTTTGTTCTTGGCACTTCATTAAAATAATGGTACTCTATTTAATCATATAAAAATATTGATAAGACTAATAAAATTCATTAAACAAAAAAACAAATTATAAGATGCATGAAATCAATTTTATTGAGGAATTGGATATGTCATATTGAAGAGAAGTAATCAATTATCTTAGCAATATTTTTCACCATTATTGTATTAAGACGAATTCAGTTGTTTGAAAAGAAATAATTTCTGTATATAACATTTAATTTAATTACATTTTACGTCTATATTGCAAAAATACTTAGAAGAAGCTGCTGTTTTGGTTCTTCAACCTTACACGACGTTTAGTTTTGCCACTTAAAACTTGGAATTATGATTTTGAAAAGTTTATAGGGTAAGTTATTTAACATTCGATATCAAGTTCGAAAATTATTGAATGTTAAACTTGCAGTAAAAACTGCCTTTATAGCCGCTCGGCAATCTTCAGAAATGCATTTAAGGAATTGAAATTTAATTTGCTTAAAGGGCCATTTTTATTAGCAAATTTTATTAATATATTTCAAAAAAGATTCGCTTGTTATTTTTTACTACAGGTTTAACAATTGGTAGTTTTCGAACTAATCATCAAATGTTAATTTTTTTTTAATCCTTCATAATCCTTGTGCAATTTTTTCTAGTAATTTCGAGATTTCAAGTCTTCCAGTTTTTGCAGCGAGGCAAAATGTAACGTTAAGTTCTACACTCGAAACAGCCGAACTTCGAATTAATATAAGTAACGCAATTACAAATTAAAATTAGACGGAGCATTAAAATGCAACACAGATTTCGGATAAAACTACTTCTACTTCTTTAATTCGATGTCTTTTGAGATTTTTTATGTGTTGTTGCGAATAAGTCTTAATCGATTACATAAATAGATGCTAGTTTTATAAGGACGCTATACCAAAGGGAGAAAATATTCGTCTCCAATTCTCTTCAACTTCCATAAGAAATTTAAAATTTAGAGAGTCATCCTAGAGGAAGCCATGAAATTTCAAATACTGAAAAAAAAAATTCAAAACGAAAACTCATTGTGAGAGGGTGACTTAGGATTACGCAATGGGTAAGTTCACTCCTAATAATTTGTTTCGATTCTGATATTTTGACAATTCATAATTTAATGAAATTTGTTCGATATTTTGACATTTTATAATTTACTTCATGGCCTACTCTACGTTTTCCAGAACTCATTTTTTCTATGCTTTAAATTTCTATACTCCTACACTTTAAATTATGTATAGACCTGAAAATTTAAATTTTCTGTTAGTAGCCAGTAGACTCCAATAGCTTACAGTCCCCGGCAAAATTATTAGACTCACTATAAGATTCTTAGTAAAATCTTAATTATCAGGTGAAATTATACAGCAATATTGTTTTTTCGCGGCGGAAACCGGAATGCATTTGTTTACGTTATTGTATCAATTGGTTAGCATTGAAATGCAATCAGTTAAAAATAAATACAAATAGTAGGAATTTAAAAAATCGCCTGAATAAAAACCCATTGCATGCATGTTTAAACATAAAAGTATTGCATAAAAACTTAAGAAAAAACATGCAGTTATTAAAGCACTTCAGTGCGTTTAATAATTGGTCTAATTATTACAATATACTCACACAAAACCTGATATAATAAATAGTTATTGTTTAGATAATATATCGTCTAATTTATCCATCGTGGAATTTATATTATATATCTTCTAATTTAACCAATTGATACACGAACGTAAGCAAATGCAAAACCGTTTTCAATTGCGTAAGAACAATAACGCTGTATAGTATCACCTGATAATTAAGATTCTACACAGAATCTTATAGTGCGTCCAATAATTTGGTCAATGACTGTAGCAGTCATTTTTTCCACAAATCTACTAAATCAGTGACTGATATCGATAGGACCTTTCATTAGTCAGGGACTAATATATTCTATTATATTAATATTTATAATTATACTAATATATTAATACTTTCTTTGTTGTCCTGCAGTGGACTGATCGTAAAGACACCGTTCCCAGTAGAGCACCGAAGTCGAGTATCACTGGCTTTGGTTAGTAAGCGGGTGGGGGAATATTTCGATCAGCTTGCGTAGGGCCCGAAGGTGTGCGGTATCAGCCCTCATTAAATTGTTCTACCATAAAGTGCTCGACTTCGCACGTAAGTCATCGGGCTCCCAAAGCCGGGGAGTGATCCCCTCTAAAGAGGATCAAAAGTGTGATGATGTGCCTTGGGGTCATTCTCAGGCATGCTTCCCAGACCGTATCCTGTAGTCCATTGTGCAGCTCTAATGCGATGTAATTAAACTACCACTACTGATTCAAGGACCGAACAGGAGTGGCTGCTTGTTCTTTCACCGGGTAATGTGCACCTACTTGTGCAATCGCCCTATCTGCTTACTCCCAGCGGGGCGATATTTTAGTTTTGTTCTCACTGTATGCAAAGAATTCGTAGATTACATTCACCTCTTATTCCCAAGATGCGAAAGCAGGTAATTTTAATGCAGTGAGAATGGCGGTGAAATGCACGCGATTCCAAAATTTGTGTACTTTACTCCAGTAAAAACAAGGTAGAAATATCATTGCCAACAAAGATATATATCTTATTTCCTTTTCAATTTTTTAGTGAGGATTTATTAAACGGCAGAAATAAATAACCAGAAGTGTTTCTGTTAAATCAAACTGAAACTGCTTTAATATTTATCTCTGGTAAAAGTTCTAAAAAATATAAATAATTTAGTCTTTACCACCTCGTTTGATCAAGAATAAAAATATTTAACTTTATTACAATGGCTGAACCAAATAAGACTCATAAAATTAGCAATGATTATTATTTAGAATCAGAAGATGACGGACAAGTCATCCTCCCATCATTTAAAGAACATCAAGTATTTTAGTCTAATAATTTGTTTTCTTAATTTTAGATAAGAATTGGATTTGGTTCGTAAGTGAATGTTTTTTAAAACAAATTGTGTTCTTTGTATTATTACTCCTTAATGGATACACATTCACTTCTGTCAGTGATTTTTGAAATGTCAAAAAACATATGAAATTTATCTTGCTTTTATATATGTTGTTTTTTCTCATACCTTATATGTTTACATATGTACATCAGAGAATCATACAATCATTATCAATCCTAGACGTTGATTAAGTAACATGTGAACGATATATTAATGTTTTCAAGGTAAAAAAGTAAACCGTTAATTATTTTAATTATGGATATCACCTCAAGTATTCTATAATTAATATTTATTATAGATAGTATTTTTAATGAACATAATCATTTATTGCATACAAATATATACCCATAAACATTAAAAAAATTTTTTTGGGTGCTTTAACTGTCGGTAACTATTTTATAGACTCTTCAAAACTAGTTGTTTTTGCGGTTTCATTTTTGTAGATGCATTATTGTTGTAATTTGCATTCAATATATCTTTTGTTAAATATCAATATAAAAACTATTATTGCGACCGCCGTAAAATAATTTATCGATTCAAAGATTGCCCACAAACTGTCTTCCAATGGTTTGCCCACAAAAAATTCATTGCTATTTACTGCTGACTTCTATTAATTCACTGATCCATTGATTGGTATACTTTCATTCCTCATTCTTACTTTATTCACTCATTGTATCTAAAAAATTTCACGAGGGCAGTTTTCATGAGGAAGCAACAAGCATACTTGTGATAAATTGTTTATGAAATATATCTTATAAATAACAGTTAAAAATGATTAAAAATTCATTTCATGAATTTAATAATTTTATCATAAAATTTTGATTGCAAATACGAAATTTTGTGTTTGCAAAATTTCTTTATTGCCATGTATATTAAATGTATCCCATTGTACATATATGTACAATGGGTATATACAACATCATGAATATGCTAAACTAACATATTGTTTTAATTTGCATGAAAACTAAGAAAACTCTGTCTTGGCTCATCGAATTTGATCCCGTGTGATGTCCGTTTCTGTCCCACATTCTGCCTCATAATGAGACTCCTAATGCCAACTGTGGGAGACACGCTGAATATTTTTAAAACAGGGAGGCATGATTCAAATATTCGACATCATGTACTAGACACTTGCCTCATTTATAGTCGAATGCAGATGTATTGAATTTACAACAGCATGAAAAGAAGAGCTAATATTTTAAATCCAAACTTATTATTAAATGCAAGTTTCAAGGTATAGTTATTACTTTTTGACCTGCTTTATCAGTGTCCCTTTCATCGTCAGTCCAACTGGCCTTTTGATCATGTTTTCAATTGTCTTTGTCAAATTTCCACAAGGCTTTTAAATTCCCTATATTTTTAATATGATAATAATGAATAACGAGTTTTGAATTGTACATTTTAATTATACTCTTTGACATGTGCTGGTTTCATTTTATTTTAAGTCAAAGTTTTCTATTCTTCTTTTTGCAGTTATCGTTAAACAATTTTCTCATCGTTTTAGATAGTTCTTTAACATTTCGAATAGATCTTTTACTTGAATAGTTTTGAAATTATAATAACCCTTAACTCAAAAAGATTAATTTAGTGCCTAAAACACGGATGCTTATTAAAAAATTACAATGATTGTTATCATTTAGTCTGAATACTTGGACTTGCAGTCAACTTGTCTTTTGTTATTTTTTTTATCTGCATTTATGAAAAATTAACAAACACTTTTTAAATTGTAGAAAGATAATCTACGAATTCCCCATGGTATAGTAATATCAGGTGAAGCATCGGAGTCTGATGATGAAATCGATACTCATCATGCCATTCCTTTATCAGGTAACGTTTAACGTGTTCCATACCTGGCACTTCAGATTTTTTTCCTAATATTTTATCCTTTTTTTATGTTAAACTATTTTGTCATAACACAATATTTGTTATTTTGTTCAAATACAGATTAATTTCTTAAATGTGAGAAAATGATATTACAAGAGATATAAAGAAGCCATATAAAGAAACCCTTCAATATATCAATGATTTTAATCTAATTATTATAATCAGTAACTCAAATGCTTTAAGGAAAAGGGTGGTTAAGATAACCTTTCATGATTTTATGTCTGTTCATTTAAAACTGTCCCAAAATGAAATATTTCTTTTTTGTTAATGGTATTTTTTTACTACTATGAGTTGTCATGACTGTTGGATTAAAATTTGTCTATGTCTTGTCCGCACCATACTTAGCCATTCAGATGCTGTTTTTTATTTTGCAATAGGGTCTACTTGTAGAAACGCCTTAGTTTTGTGAAAATAAAAAGTGTTTCGAATCTAAATTTACAATGTATGCAACTTCACTGCTGCCTTGTTTGAACTTATTAAATAAGCAATTTGAGAATAATTAGAAATAGCGAGGATCTGTCTAGGTTTTTTTGAGAGGTACCTATTTTATGAAAATTTAAACATAATTTGTGAAACATTAAAAATTATATTAAAAAATCAACACAAAAAATATGGTAAAATTATGGATTTATCGTTTCTCAAGGGATACAAAAATAAAATTTTAAGAAAAATAATTTTGTGAAACTATTGTTTTTTCTAAAGTTGAATTTGTGAAACTACCATTTTTCCTAAAACTGAATTTGTAAAGGTACCGCTAAATGATAAATTCGGCCTGGACAGACCCCTGAATAGTTATTTTTATCTTAGCTTATAAAACTTCCTCAATAGATAGTTTTGTAAAAAGTTAAATAATTTTGCCCGTTTTGAAATTTGGATGATTATTTTCATCAAAATAATTCTCTTATTGAAATTGGTTTGAAAAAATGATTTAGTTTAAAAAACATTCTCAAAATGATTCTGAATAAAAGGAGCAATAAATATGCTAATAAAGTAATAAAATAATTATGATTTTTTTTGTTATTTATTTTTGATGTATTAGCAATTTCATTTGCAATTTTTGAAAGTAATTCCTACCTAAATTACTGAAGCGGTGGAAAATATCAAATTAATTTTAAAATTGAGATTATATTTGTAAACTACTGCCTTTTTATAATACAGATTATATTATAACAGATAAATTTTTCTAAATTGACTCAGTAGAATTATTGCTTGAAATAAAAAAAACTTTATACCTCTTCCTCTTTAATTTGATTTTTTACAGTTTAATTAGCTTATAAGCTTTCTGAAAAAGAAAATATATGAATTAAATTGTTTTATGTATACTGTGCCCCCCCCAAAAAAAAANCCCCCCCCCCCCAAAAAAAAAGAGGGGAAAAAACGGGCCACTCTGAATAGCTTTTAATGATCGGATTTTCACTTTCTAGGACTCAATCTCAATGGCTCGAGGAGGTGATCTTAAATATGTTGAATAATAAATGCGTGCAATATTTCAAGTTACAAAATCAGACGCAGAAGTGTACTTTCTCTGACTAAGCATACCATTTTTTTCCACAGATTCGGATTTTCGACCCCCAAAATATAGGGGGTAGCGACTATCTGGGAAATATGGTCCCATTTGTTTAGTCAGGAAAGACCTACAAAACTTGAAGCCTGTAATGTTAATATTACCAGGATCTCGCTATATCTCAAAAAAAAATTTAGCGTATTAAAAACACATTTCAGGTAATTATAAAATTTTTTTATACAAAGATAATTCTATGCAAAAAATAACTTTTAGTAATAATTTTTATTATTTTATTTAATAATGATTGAAAAGATTTTGAATTGTAAGGTGTAAAATTTTTTGCATCATTTTAAAGATTGCAATTTTGCATGGCAAAATACAAAATTTGAGCCAAATCAGTTGAATAGTTCCTGAGAAATTGAATTTCAAAAAAGTCAGATACTTAAAGTTCGATTTCTCAGGAACTGTTTGACCAATTTCGCTCAACCTTTGTATTTTGTCTTGTAAAGTTACATATTTTGAAAGGAAGCAAAAACATTTTATACCTTCCATTTCAACATTTTACGACCATTATTAAGTAAAATAATAAATATTTACTAAGAGTTATTTTTCACTTAAAATTGTCTTTGGATAAACAAATTTTATAATTGTGGGCAAAATTTTTCAAATCTCTTAGAAGTTTCTCGAGATATAGCGAAATACGCAAACAGTATAATTAGCATTAAAGGGTCCAAACTTTGAACCGCCTTTCCTGTCCAAACTAATGGGACCCTATTTCCAAGAGTCAGACTACCCCCATCAAAAAAAGTCATCTTTATTCAGAGAAAGTACGATTTTGGCTGAACTTAAAATATCGTCTGTTTTTATTACTTAGCATATTTGAGGTTCCCCTCTTCCATTAAGATTAAGTCCTAGAACATCAAGATCGACTCATTGGATCAAAAGTTATTCTGCATGTTCCTTTTTACCTATTAGTTAACAGCAGAAAAAAAATTGAAATTTTTAGCAGAAATTTCATAAAGAGTGTATTCACTCAGGGTAAAATGATGATAAGTAATACTACGATGTGCGAGATATGTGTCTAGATACTTATTGTTAAACTCTGCTTCTGATAATTGAGATCTTATTGTACCTTTTTAAAGCTTTTTCATTATGTTTGAAACTAATCTCACTTAGCATCTCAGAAATATGCTTCTTCTTCAGCTAGTGATCTTTCTGTATCACCTTCTTGGGAAAAAAACTTCACTGAACCTTCAGAGAAGACATCATCGGCTGGCAGCTCTACAACCCAACATAATACGTATGTATTGTTATAATGTTTGATCTATATTCTAAGTTTATTTTTAGTGATGGGTCAACTTAATTGTTCTGTATAAAATAAAGTTTTCAATATAGAAATTTTAAGTGATCACAAAAAATTCTCTGAAACATATTTTGTTTTAAATTATCTATTAAGATAAAGCAGGCATGAGATTCTTTCAACCTTGCAGAATTTGACTCACTTTAGAAGAAAATGCTTTGTTAGATGTCAATTTTTTCTTTATATTTATACATTATTGTTTTTTAAAAAACTTTTTTCTTATTTTCTTCTTTTTAATAATGATTAAATATATAAAAGCTTAACAGTTGTTTGACTGTCAATGTACACTTAATAGTAAAAAAAAAAAAAAAAAAAATGAAAACTTTCTGTAAGTAAATAATATTATTTTCTTTCTGTGTAAAATCATGCTTTTACTTTTTTATGCTCTTGCTTTTTTTGCTTAATTATTAATAAAAGTTTGCAATTTTAAAGTATCTCATGTAAGATTTTTCAAAATTTGACATTCAGACTTTTAAAAGCATAAGTTTTAAAATCTTTTAACCTAAGCCTTAGTCAACTGTGTTCATCACATGAAATTATTAAGCCATTAAAAATTGAGTATCAAAAGTTATTTAGTTTCTTTTTTTCCCGTCTATTATATGTCATTTCATAGAGTTATTTTTTTATTTGGTATAATATTATTCATTATAACCTTTTGCTTTTTTTTTTTTTTAAGGTTGCTGCATAAGAAACTTAGTAAGTAAACATTTAGCAATTCTCAAACCTTAGTATTTATTGCAAAACTCTCTGTTTCTTTTATTTTTTTATCCACACTTCTAATTTTGTTCATTTTTTCTTCATTCCTCAAATGATCTTTGTGGAAATTTCTATCTTATCACTGAAAATTAATTAGAAATACCTACATAACTGACATAAGAAATGTTTAACTAATTTCAAAAGACATTGCTGTTTTATGTTACTGGCGAAGTATGAAACACCAGCATTCTATAAAGGCTTAGACATTGTATGCTATGCCAGACTTTTTTAGACAAAGTATAAAATATGAGAATTATTACTTACTTTCCCTAGGCATTGCATATACCTAGGCATTCTATAGAATGACAAATTGCACAGCATGAAAAAAGGTCCTAATAAGGCTATTATATAAACGACGTGAATTCCTCATATAAACAAAAACTAATGTGCATGCCATTAAAAAGTTTTTTTTCATGACACATAAAGAAAAATAAAGTTTTACAAAAAAAAATTATGCTTTTATTATGGGACAGAAAATTTTTATACACATATCAAGAAATTAAAATCAACTTACTCGTTTCAACATGGTAAGTAGGAATGACATTTTGAATTATATTCCATTACATTCTAAACGAATCAGAGATGTATGTCATACTTTGCCAATTTCTCATTTTGGCTCTCTAAAGAATGCCTAGGAAATGTGTGAAATATTCATACATTGCCAACTAGTTTTAGGTATTATATACAATGCCTAGGTATTCTGTAGAATGCCAGATTTCAAACTTTGCCAGTAGCATACTTAATATTAAAATTTCAAAATGTAGAGTTGCTTGTTAAAATTAAATATCTTTTCATATTACATGAGATGTCACTGAAATTTTTAACTGATTCAATAAAGAAAGCGTCTTTATATAGGTATTGATATTAAAAAGAACTAAGCAATTTATGTATTTATTTATTTATTATTATTTTTTCCCGATATTGAGCATCTATTTCTCTTCTTTTTTTTAATGATCATCTGAGTGTAAATTCAACCAGTTAAAAATTAAAATTATTTCAAGTAAACCATTCAAAATAATTATATTCCTGTTTATAAAGACTCTTCTTGTGCCTATCAATTGAAAGTGTATAATATATTTTCTGCCCTTTTTTCTTTAATAATGAGTAGGTGCCTTTTTTTCTTAATAATGAGTAGACTTTCATAAGTCATATTTATTTGAAAAAAGAAAAAAAATTACGAACAATGACAATCCATTGCAACTATTTTCCTGTATGTAAATTTAGGTTCAAGGAAATTAACTTAAGTATGCTAATTCGTTTGTGCATACTTTTAGGTTAGATATTGGTAAAAGAAAAATGTACTTCCTTTACCTTAAAATAACTCTACATAAACACTAGGATGCATAAATTTGTACTTTCTTTTTCCTTTTCTTATATTGAATCATCTATGGAGGGAAAAGTTGTGTATTAGCATAAAATGTTTCTTTCTTTTTTCTTCTTTTTTTTTGGAATTGAAAGATAGTTAGGTCTTCTAATTTTGTCTTATATCTCAATAAAATAAATATCATGTCATTTACTACCTTATTAATTTATAGGAGAGAAAAATCAAGTGTTAAGGAAGAATATCGTTGAACTTGTGACACAACCATATGAATCTGCTTCAAAAGAAATACACAATATTTCTCAGCAACTAATTAAATCACAACTACTAGTGCAGGTATGTATTTAATTGTTTGAATTCATAGTCATTTTTGAAACTGCAGTGCATTTTTAAAACTTTTGAAAAACACATAAACATTATTACAATAAAGAATATATAGTTATAACTATTAATACTTGTTGTTACAAAAAATTAAGTAAATATATTAAATTATTCAAATTAAATTCTATCTGTATGCATTTTCCAAAGCCTATTAACTCTTTCTTTCTGAAAAAAAATCAACATTTGTTAATTAAGTCAATTATTAGCAATTAATAATAAAAATTTTTATTACTACTAAAAATTGTCCTACATTTATTTTTTAAAAAAATTATTTTTATGTAAGCGAAATAGAATTTAATAATCAAATAAAAACCAAAATTTTAAATGCATACTTATCTGGAATCAAAGAGACAAGTGTAAAATTTTTTTTCCCTTCTCACTTTGTGAACTTCGACAATGAGCATGTAGTAGTCGGTAGAAATTTTTTTCTGATTCTATTAAGTTAGGCCTAATAACCTTGGATCCATCCCTCTGATGAGTACCCCATTCAAATTTGAATTTAAATAATTTCTTTACCTAGTGATGTATGTTTTTCAATTTTAAAATATTTAATATGTGGAACATTGTAGTTGATTAAGATTAAGTTTTAATTTAAATTATATTTATTAACTAATAATTGCACATTGATTACTCAGCATGTGCACAATGATTTTCACTCCGAAAATCCCAGCCAAATTTTATATTTTTCCTAAAAAACTATCAAATTTATTTGAAATTGTTATTTTAGTAAGGTAAGTGCGGCACCGAATTTTTGAATGCTCTAATAATCTTATTTTAATTATGGAATTAAATGAAATGAATTGTTGTAAATTGTTGGCAAACTATGTATCAAGAACTATAATATTGACCAACAATATAGTCAAGATTATGTTTTAATACAATTTTGTTTTAAATACTAACTGATGTTCATTAATTGACTATGTCTTATACTATTTTCTTAACTATGAAATAACCAGAGTGTGCTGCACATGCAGCCCGAGACGTTAAACCTCAAAGATTATGTATAATCCCCTAAAATAATTATTTTATTAGATTATTGATTAGATCCAAATTACAGCATGAACAAGCTGATTGAAATTGTTATTTGATCTTTGAGCATGTGTCCTGCATGAACACATGACTGATAAAGAAAATTTTATGTATGAGCATAAAGTTAATTTCCTTAATTTTGTTTAATTACTCTCAATGCAGCTTTTAGTTTTATCGAATTGTTGTTCAGATTACTATAAGGTCCTCTTATATATCATTTTTATTAAATGATTAATGTGAATGTCAAAATATAATATTTGTTAGTTAGAAGTGAAACTTAAATTAAGACAATAAAGTCGAATATATCTTTTTCTTACATGTGTTAGAAACCAAGCTTAATCTCATATACAATTGTTCTCTTTTGTTTCATGAATCTGATCTTATCTGTGAAACACTTGTTGATAGTTGTTTCTTCTTTTTTTTTTGTCCTACTTGTTATAAAACGAAACAAATATTTATAATTATATGATAATAATGTATTTCAGCTATGCAAATAATAATTATTGGTTGAACTTGCAGTTTTTTTATAGATATTATTGCATTACTTTTTTTATATAGACTAAATATTCATTCAACTTTATTTATAATAAGTAGTTATCCAAAACATATAACATCAGGTTAAAACAAATTCTAAATAAAAGAAATGTTTATATAAAGTTTGACATTTTTAAATTTTAATAAAATAGCAAGTGCACAAAAATGTAATACCTTTTACTCTTATTTCTCTGTACACATAATGGATCGGTTTATTCTCAGAATCATGGAGAAGATTCATTTTTTTTTATTGTTGAAAAATACTGACTAATAGAATTTAGTCCACAGCATTATAAAATAGATCAATTTTTGTTTTTAGGTAATTTCAGTATACTATGAAAATGTAGAAGAAGGCTGCACGAGGATGGAGATAATTCTGTATTACATGAAAAAGAATGTTTTGTTTAATAGATTCTGATTAAATTTTTGGCAAAATTATGAAATGTTAAAACAAAAATTTGAAACTTAATTATTTTAATAAAATATATAAATCTTTATCATCCGGTCAACATTTTGTTTTAGCTAACTAATCAGTGATATCTCCAGCGCTTGCAAGGGCTATAATTATGATCTTATAAAATTTATAATTTGAAATAATAAATCGCTATTTTAATTGGTTTACTCCAAATTGAATTCTGAATTTCATGTAAATATCAATTTTTAACTGAAGGACATAAAATCAGAAATGTTTCATTTGCAATAGAGTCCTATGTTAAGGTAGTACTGAGAGTTCTCTGTACAAAGAAAAAAAAAGTTTCTTATTCTTTTTTTTCTTCAAAATTTTGTTAAACAAAAATTTTGTCAATTAATTTCTAGCGCTATTTTTGCTTTCAGGAACTTAGAAACACCATCAGAAGATTAACAAATGATTTATTTGATATGGAAGATAAAATGGAAGCTTTAAGAACTGGATCGTTTTTGCCCAACATGTATGAACCAACAACGTCTGAATAATGTTGTCTGTTTGTAAGCCTTTATTGTGAAAGATCTAGTGAGTTTATGTGGAAATTTTTTCTTTTTGTATCACCTTTTCACTGAATAGCACAAGAAGAAACTGGTTTACCTTTTACGACAGCAACCCTATTGGTCTTGAACCAAGAAATGAATAAGAGTTATACTGTTGTAATTTGTTTCATAAATTATCTTTTTGTGAGAAAAGAAAAACAAATGCTTTCATGTAAAATGCAAAATTTAATACGTATATTGAAGTCTAAATGATAAAATGTCATTCATGTATGTAAACATTCCTGCACATACAGTTAAATAATAGCTGAATTCTATCACTGGGCAGTGATACCGCTACACGCAGTTATGTGTTAAATTATGCCTAAACTTGTAGAGGGAATGTGCAAAAATAAATTATGATGCCTTTCCTGGGACATGTAATAATCCAGTGCGATAAAAACTTAGCTGGTCTCTTGTTTTATGGAGGCAAAATTTATTAATATATAACAGTTTCGTTAGTATTTGAAGGAGAAAAATAGAGTGATTTTGAGTTTCAAATTTCATCATTATTTTTCCTTGATGCAAGAGTGTTTGATTATTAACTAATTAACATTGTTGTCCGAAATATAAATTATATTGTTGTGAAATTCTTTGTTTTTTCTATCAATCGATAGAATAATTATGAATATAATAGAGGGCTGTTGAGGTAGAGAATTCATATTTAAAATAAGTACCTGTTTTTTAGTAAAAAGGGAAAAGGGTTCCTGAAATATGGATATCCAGGTCTGAAAGGAGTGCCTCCCAATTACTGTATTAGTAGCTGAAAGTTTTGATACATATTAGACAATTATTTAAAAGAATATTTAATTTACATAAAAAATAAAATAGTAATTTTTCAATTTTTTTTACAGCTTTGCAAGTATAATTACTATAGAATAGCATCGATTGAAGCTAATGTGTTTGACTTCATAAAACTTAAATTCCCATTGAAACTTTTAATGATGAAAATCAGCGAAACTTTTTAACTTAAATTTAAATATAAATAAATAAGAAAATTAGCATTTTTTCATGGATTTCCAAAATGTTAGTAAAAGTGAAAGAAAACTTATGCTGTTTGTCAGTTTAAAGCATATTAAGTAGTATATATTTATTTCCGTTGGGAACAAACACTCTTTCCCCCCTAAATGCATAGATTGGTGCCTTTTCACATTCTAACAAATCCTAAACTACTTAGAAGGTCTAGAAAAAATTCGTTTTTTAAATAAATGTAAATAAGAACCTGATGTTGCGCACTTCACAAGGTTTGAAATTGACAGTGGCCTGGGATCACTAATATCTAAATCCAATATTAAAAATTATTACTATCCATTAACACCCACTGCTGGTCTCCCAGATCAGCAGGGATAGTACGCTGTTTAGGTTTTTTGGCTTCATGTTTTTATGGAAAATTGGATTATTTCAACATAATTGCAAACATTACACATTCTCTGAGAGTAATTTTTAATATTTTGAAAAATTTCTAATCGAGATACGTTAACAAAACTTTCAAAATGCTTACGGACTAATATATAATCTTTTTTTCACTGGTCTTTTGAACCTGTGACTAAATTTCTTAATGTCTACCTTTGCTAGAAATTGAATGATTTCTTTGAAAACAGATACAAACCATTACCACTGGTCATTTCTGATCCTCTGGCTTAAGACCATTTATTTCACCTGAAGTTCTTCTAAAGTAAGGTACTAGTAAAGTAAGCTACTAGTTTTATTTCTGTTATGCATAATACTGATGACCTAAGAAATTTTAATGTTCTCATATATTCTGGATAATTGATTCTGGTTTTGTAAATTTAATGACAATGATTGCTGATTCAACTAATGTTTGAGTTTAGAAACCAGCAGACACTGGATTACCAAATCATATTAAAAAAAATTTTATTCCTTAAACCCTCATAACTGTGTTTCTTCTTGTCTTCTGGGTTGGATTCAAAATGAAATGCTTATGTAGTTGAACACTGATAGCTGCAAATCTGATATGGATCAGATGTTTAATGCTAGTGATTGAGAGAAGAAAAAACATGTTTCTTTATGACACATTGTATAAATGTATAATTTTTATCAATGAGTGTGATCATCCACTTTTTGTCCATTCTATGAAACATTCCATAATACAACTGTTGTCATTTCACTTTTCTTCTGTGATTTATTGTAATGTATTCTTATTAGTATAACTATCAACTGTTTTTGTGATTAGGCTGATTAGTTGATTTTTACACATTGTAAACAACATGCAAAAATTTATTTAAAAATATTTTTGCATTGCTTTTGATTATCAAACTTTCATGTACTTATCTGCATGATTTGAGAGGACCATCTGAAATATGCTAGTTAATTAGAAACATTGCTATGTAATTTAATAATCAATGTTAATTATGCTTAATAAAATTGTTGTTACTTTTTGTCATATTATGCTTCATAATTCTTCTATTGGATTTATTAAATTTATGGTATGCAAACAGAATAACAAGAATAAATGAAAATTCATAGTTTTATCTAATTATTCTATAATGCACTGGTATAACTTCAGGGAGGTATACATAATTATCACCAATATTTCTTTTATTAGAAAGTGGAACTTCTGTAGTATATACAATGTATTTTCTTATTGTGGCAATAATTTTTATTTTTTAAGCTTTAAAAAAAAGAAATAAAGAAAATGATTTCTCAAATTTGATAGTGTTTTATCAGGAAAAATTGATTTATATTAAGGAAAATAGATTTTTGATTGTAGATGAAATTTATACCTTGTTGAAGTTGTTTGGTTTGCGTATACCATAAGTTGAGGATGTTAATGAGTTCAAGTTAGTTTCGATCCCATTAGTTGAAGGGTGTGGATGTTTTTATCATAAGTTGAAGGACCTCGATAAATTAATCATTCGTTGAGGAGGATGCTGGTTGGTGTAGTCATCCATATATTATTCAAGTCTGATGTAGGCAAGCAATTATTTAACAAAAAGTCATAAATTGCTTAATAAAGAATTAAATAATAATAAATAAAAATGTTTTTTTTTAAATTTATGTGTAATCATATGAAGCTCCAAAGTAAGGAAATGATTCATACAAATAAATTTAAAAAATAGTACAGAGGGTGCGAATGCAGAGCAAAACCCCAGTCACCTCCATCCATCAAGAAATCAAAATGCAAGTGTAATGCGTACGTTGAAATAGTTTTTGGCAAGGAAATGTAAAGAATTGTATTGGCTATTAATTGATTAAATTTTCTTAGCCTTATGCATTCAAATGTGTTGGCAGAAAAGAAAGCGGGAGAAATAATAACAAATGTTAATGAGATCAAAACATTAGCAACCATATCACGAATTTTGAATTCTATGCTAATGTGTTAGGCAGAAGTAAAGGGAATCTCTAAAAATAGATTTATTCTGCACTCAATTCAAGGTGTGGTATAAAAGGAATACAGATTTGTATTAATGATTTTTATTTATTGAAAAAGGATTTTTTTTTAAATGATAGGAAATATGTTATGCATTTTTCAGCATGACATGTTTTGATGACATAAAATTTAAAATCTATTCGATAATTGAGGTCTAGAACTGTAAAAATAATTTTAAAAAATGAGTCTAGTCATTTTGGAATAAACTTGCTTAAAATGTATCCTCAGTAATATATTAATCCTTGCTTTGTTCTTTTAGTCCTCTATATTGTTTGAAAAAATCTTTGTTTTTCCCCAGATAAAATTCTTTACATCTTATTTTCACGAATCATAAAAATTTATATAGTTATAATATATATTATTTCTAAAAATATTTATCATTATAAAATACCTACTGTATGTAAAATTAAAAACTTGTATGATAAAAATTCTAGGCATTTTTTGAAAAAAAAATTTTTGTCCTGTAGGAAGAAATTTGTTATTTTTAGGTTGCTGCCCTCTGTTAAACCAGCATCAATTAAAATCTTTCATTTTGATGGGTTGTGAAATTATTTTCCATAGGTATTGTATTAAATGTAAGTAGATATTTTTTTTCATCCAAAACTTATTTTAAACTAATTATTAAATTATGTAATTTTAACATTCCTATCAGTTAGAAATTGAAAATGTAAACTGGTTTAAAGAAAGACCAAATTTATTCTTGGTGCTGAATGATTGCAAAACAGGAAGAAAATCTAGGAATGATTTAAAAGTTTAAAGCAACAAAAAACCTGATATTTTTTATATAAAACAATTTTTTTTTTACTTAAATGTCAAATATAAGTGCACTGGTGTCCAGAAGTTAGCGAAATTTTCACACTTATTCTATTTAAAAGTATGCTTCACTTTTCGACATAGTTAATCGAAGCGCTTTTATACTAAGCATTAGCACCAAGGGCGCCGGCAGCGGGGTGCAAGGGGGTGCACTTGCACCCCCCTGGCTCTTATTTTAAACAATTAAGGAGATACAGAAAAACAATTCTGCTATAAAAAATTTTATTAAACATATTTTTATTGAAAAACAAATAATTAAGTTATTATTGATACATAACAATTAAAAAATTGCTTATTCAAACAAGAACTGTAATCGTCTTGTTTGCTGTCCAGATCTGTTTATAACTTTTTTTCAATGAATTCTGAGTCATCTTTGATTCTTTTCTTATGCACACTGAGCATGCACTAACTTGGCAGATTTCTAAGCTATATATTTAAATTTCATTCAATAAAATGTAAGTATTTTATATTAGTTTAACAAACGTGTATTACACAAACTGATTTCTCAAAACTGTAAAATTTCATCAACACAATAAATACCAATGTTAAGCGTGCACAAACACGTTACTATACGAAACTGCTGTTTGTAGTTATTTGTGTTTCAAAGTCAGTAGCTATGCCAGCGCCATCAATACAGTTTCTTGTGGCAAAATTTGCAAGTACAAGAAATTCGTACTTTTTTAAATTAACAGATCAAAGTATATGTAATAACAAAACAGAATGTAACAACAGAATATTTTAAAAAAATTATATATTTTTTATTTTTTTTTTTGGGGGGGTAGTTTGTTAGAGGGTTGCACCCCCTTTTATATTATTCTGCCGGCGCCTTTGATTAGCACTTATAATTTTGTATAAATATTGATATGTATGAGAGTAAGACGTATTAAAAAAAATGAATGAAATTCTAAAAAAACCAATCTGGAAAAGCTAGGAAGTGTTTCCCCCCCCCCCTGAATATTTGTGGTCACTTTAAAATACACATTCCTGATATGGCAACAGGACTGATAATATGCTTTTATATGTTTCTCACCTAAAAAACAATAAAATGCCCTAATTTGTTATCACTTTACGATGGGAAAGTTAGGAAGAGTGAGGCAATAATCCTCAGAAGATTCTAATGCATTTACTTCCACCTAATTTCTTCAATTTTTATAATTTTTTTTAGCTTATTGTGTCACAAGAAGGTTCTTGATAGATATATCTGTATTGGATTTACAGCTTCAAAGTTCCGCATTCCTTTCCACAGGTATCACCTTTCCTAGAAGAGATAAAACTTGTGACAAATTAAGCTTGTTAATTTAAATGGCTGTTAAAAATCATTCCACCCAGAAAAGAGATCAGTCGTTTGAAATACAACAGAAGCTTTTGTTGATATTTTTAATTTAAGATTAAATTTTCTTAAACATTGAATTGCTTTTTAATTTCAAAATTTTCTTTTCACTTTTAATGTTAATTATTTGATTTAATAAAGATGCAAGGAAGAGGAAAAGAATTTAATGCTTTCTTTTTATCTTACTGGATTTGTGATTTAAAAATTTTTTGGTCTCTTAAATTGTATTATGAAAAGAAAAAACTCGTGTGTTTTCATGATCACATTATTTTAAAATATTAAGTTTGATCCTTGGTTTATATTAGTTTTTCAGCAGATACATTAACGAATCCTACCTGATTTATATATATATATATATATATATATAGCATTTTATTTAAAATGAATTTATAAAAAGAAAAAATTATCACAGAATTGTGAAAAGAGTGAGGATGGACGCATATTGATTTACTTTTCACAGAAATGTCAAAAATACTTAATGTTTGTTCTTAAAAATTGAATCGAATTATTACAAGTTTTAACGGAGTGTTGTGCATTTTTAATTCTTTTAGCGGCCAGGATATACGTAGACTCCCCGTGTGACTGATGCACGTAATGGTGACTGATGGTGAAATGGTGACTGATGCACGTAAAATCTGTCGAGTCGCAAAGTCCTCCATGTTCCCATAACAAATCAATACCTCTGGGGGCACTGGATTGGAGTCTGGTCGTTCTCTGGTTCAGGTCAAAATTACGATCTGGTGGATGAATGAATATGTCCGCCCTATAAACAGGTGTGGCAGGAGTCGAATTCTTGGCCATAGATGTCGCCACTGGAAAACAAGAACAATCTCACAACTCTGCCTAAACAGACATACGAGAGAGAGAATTCTTTTAGCATTAGCATTTTCCAATTTATGTTTTTTTTTTTTTAATGACTTTTCCAGCTTTGTAATTTTTACATTTTTGAGCTTTTCTGATGTTAGAATCAATGCAAGAAATTTTAAAAATTTATTAGTGGTCATATACGAATTTACGTTTGTAATGTGATTTTGTTAAGGGGTTTCTTATCTTACCTACTTTATTAACAACACATCTTCTAGGGGTTGAAGCAGGCTTTCTTTTGGGGTAGGAGCCATTCTAGGAGCGGAAGGGGAAAAAAATTTTTTTTTTTTTTTAATCTGCATGTTTAAATGTCATCTTTACGAAGATTATTTTCAATTATGAATAGTAAACCAATCTGAAACCTCCAAAAGGAAATAATGAAAGAAAATTATGATCCAATAATTTAAAACAAAATATTAAAAAAAAATCTTACTTTTTCTATATAATCAAACGTTTATTTTCATGAGAACAAATGAACTTATTACTTCTTTTCTTATTAAAATCTTATTTTAAAAAATAATTTGTATTATTAATAAAAAAGAAGTAATATTTGGCTAATCTGATAATTTTATTCACATTGAGGACAATGTGAAATGCACAAAATGGTAAGTAAAATCGTAAATGTTAAAAGGAATTGATTTGTTATTTATCTGCGCCTAATATTCTGAGGTTTTTTTCCCCCCTCCAACCACTTCAGACACATTTTTATTGAGGCTTTTCCCACATGCCGGAAACGAAATCAACTATTGTAACCCTAATAAATTCAAATTTCACTTTTCTTATGGTCCTTTTTAATGCAAAACAAGCATTTTATTTAGCCCCCGGGAAACTGTTTCGTTATTCTTCTGTACTGATGCTGAAAACGGAAATTCATTTAAAACGGTATAAGTTATACCTGGCAAATACATAAAAGGCAGTAGCAGTTAACCTTAAAAATCAGTAACTACTAAATTAAAATTTAACCTTCTTTACAAGCATTTTTAAATCAAAATTACAGTTCATAAAT